ATGGAACCACTAAAAAATAGGCTAATTATCATGCAAATTAGGTAATTAATATGCACGGATTTTTACCAAAAATTAATCAAATCTGTGCATATGTTCAGAGCATCTATGTACCAAGTTTCATCAAAATCCAATGAGTGGTTCTTTAGATATCAGTGGAACAGTCATAGAACAGCTAAAAATTAGCTAATTATCATGCAAATTAGGTAATTAACGAGCATGGATTTTTCCCAAAACCTAATCAAATCTACGCATTGGCCAAGAGCATCTATGCACCAAGTTTCATCAAAAACCGATGTATGGTTCTTGAGATAGCAGTGGAACAGTCGGACACACATACACACAAACACACACACACATACACACATACAGACACACTAACTGCAAAGACTCCCATTTTGTGCTTCGCACATGGGAGTCAAACACTGCTTAACCATTCTCTCTACTCAGAAGAAAAAAAAAAAACAATGAATAGGAATCAGTGCCTAAGAAAAACATGACTGACTATAATCTAGGTGTCCAGAACGATTATGATATTTATTGTACATTGATATGAGGCTGTAAACAAGTGCTCCACCAATCTTCGCCACTGGTTGCGAGATTTGCTCGTGATCAATTTAACGTTTTGAGCATATGCATTCAAGAAATCTTTGATTACTGACATCCAAACAGTTGGCATACCAATAATAACTACTCACCTGGGTTGAACAAAACAATGGCTCTTAAGCATCCTAACTCTGTCTTATCCATCTTCATTTCTCTCATTTTTGCCACCAGTTCGGTGAGTACACGGTCAAAGATAGTACCTACTCCGGCACTGTGTGCGCTGTTTCTGTGCACATGTAAACCAGTAGCTAATAAGATTCCATCTTTAACAGCGATAGAGCGATGCGAAAAAGCTGCGATTAACAGTTCATTCCAACCTATGACAAATAAATCCATCAAAAAGTATTATTACAAGCATTGAAAATGTACAGTCATTGTTCTATATTCAATGCCAAATCCCATCACTAGCAGCGAATAGCCTGATGCGATCAGTCCTTGCAGCCAACGTACTGTAATGAGCTGTACATATGTGGTTAAATCACTAAAAAGTGTAATCCAGTAAAAATCCAGTATATACTGTAAAACATGTCTTTTTCACGAGCATGTCTTTTTAGCAAATTTAGCGAGAGAACTGATTCGCTAATTCAAGATATTGCTAATGACTTTATTATAAATTCAAAATGGCAAAGCTTGGGGATTTGTATAAAGTTATTTGGAACATAAAAATCTGGGGCGCTTCCTAATTACACTTGACAGTTTTTCTTTGTTTTTATGGAGGTGATAACTGCACATTTGTTTTGGCACGAGACAGACAAGTATTGTGAGAACAGGAAATCAACAATGACAAAAGAGATTCGCTAAATCAACATTTTGCTATTACGTCATTTTACCACAATTCGCTAAAATTGCATGCCGCTTTTTCAACATGTTTTACTTACAGTAGAATCACTGTACTGAACAAAATCATGCAAGCCATCTCAGAGAAACAGTTATTAAAATTATTTGCATCTATAACAAAGTAAGTATGATCCTGATACAAAGCCATCTTCATCTGCTGATTGATTACAAGCACATTTACAGACTGTGGATTTTAAGACAAAATGACCATCAATCAAAACAACCCAACCTATGGCATTACATAAAAGTATAGTGCTTCTATGCAAACTTTCAACAGGTCAGGCTGAGATAGCTCAGCTGTTAGCAATGCACATTTCAATTAAAGAATTGAGGATATCATCACAAAATGAACAAATTTGAGAGAGGTCCACCTGTAGAAGCTATATGTATACTATCAAATCAATCAGACTTGCAGTTTTTACCACAAATGACAAAAATATTCATCATGAAATGAACAAATCTAAGTGAAGTTTCCCTATGGTACATATCCACAAAGTATCAAAGCAATCGCTCTTGATGCACCAATGAACAAACAAACAGAACCAAAATTAAAAGTTCTCGATTTCAGACTACACACAAAACGAGCACAACTGCCTTATCCATATTTCGAAAAATACATTAAATTAAAATTTACCGCCATCCATATATTTTATTAAAAAGGCAAAAAGGGTAAGTACCTGCCCGTAGTAAAATAACTTGATCATCCAAAGGAAGTTCTGTAAAGTGTGGAATTCTCTTTGCCCATTCAACCAAAGTGAATAACTGTTTATCTGCTGCTTGGCATATATTGGTGACTGGATCGTTCTGCGGAATCAGAAAATATGCATTTCAAATTATAATCATGCGTAAAAGCATGTTGTTGTGGTGCCACATTTTTCCAACAATCCAAACCTGATCCTGTTTTAGAAAACCCAAGATTAGTGTGGTACGTTTGGTTAGATGTACAATCTGCCTGTATCAGCAACTTAAGGAACAGCATCCATATATATATGGCATATACTGTAAAAATTATTATCTCATTGTAGTAAAAATAATTTTGTTTTTTCTTATGCACAAATAATTAGAATACTCTTTGGTCGATTCAATAAAAAGTGATTGTTTTTTTTTTTGGGATGAACATTGATACAGACAGACATTTGACATGATATGATCCACCCATGTCAGGTTTAGCGAGAATTTCACACAAACACAATGGCCATGTCGGGGAGCTTTGTATAAGTATGCCAAATCTGTGAAAAAACAAGTCATTGAAAATGACACAGTCCCTGTTATACTTTTGACAGTTCTCTTTGTGCTCGTCATATTAAAACGAAGGGGTTATCGCGAGCGTGTCCTTGAAACTTGAGTTCCAAGTGGCGTATACAACAGATTGTTTATTTACATCAAAACACGTGTTCCATGTAGTAGTAATATGGCCAAAAATAAAAACGGCCGTTATTCGGCCATCTTTGATCTGATTATGAAACACACTGATATGTATGATGTATGTGCTAAATACAAATGAAAATGGTACATAAATTATGGAAATATTGTAGTAAGGCCAAAAAGTCAGATGGCTGTCAATCGGCCATCCTTGACCAGATTTTGAAACAAATTGTCATGGACATGCATCCTAACATGTATAAAGTACATGTATGTGCCAAATTTGAATGAAAACTGACAGGGCACGTCCAAGATACCGCATAAAAAAACAAAAACAAGATGCCTGCCAGTCGACCATCTTTGATCCAATTGCGAAATAAATCGTATCTTAACATGTATAATCTATGTACCAAGTTTGAATGACAACTGACAAAGCATGTCCAAAATACAACATTTTCAAAAAAAAGATGGCTGCCAGTTGGCCATTTTGAATTGAATCGCTAAACCACTGCATGTGCATATGTCCCACATAAGGTACTAGGCACATGCAAAGAATGAACGGAATCTGTCCATAGGATTCTGAAATATGACTCTGGACAGACTGACGCACGAACGGGCAGACGGACGGACGGACGGACGGACGGACGGACGGACAGACAGACAGACTCAGGAACTCACGGACGATCGGGACATGTATTATAACATGTATGATCTATGTACTAAATTTGAATGAAAACTGACATAGCATGTCGAAAATAAAACATTTTCAAAAAACAAGATGGCTGCCAGTCGGCCATCTTTGATCCAATTGTGAAATAAATCGTCATGGACATGTATCCTAACATGTATAATCTATGTACCAAGTTTGAATGAAAACTGACCAAGCATGTCCAAAGTACACCATTTTCAAAAAATAAGATGGCTGCCAGTCGGCCATTTTGAATCGAATCGCTAAACCACTGCATGTGCATTTGTCCCACATAAAGTACTAGGCACATGCAAAGAATGAAAGGAATCGATCCAAAGGATTCTGAGATACGACTCCGGACGGACGCAGACCGAATTATAAGTCCCCGTTTTCGGACTTCGTGGGACATTCAAGTTTCCTCAAAAAATGTATAATGCATATTCATTGTCAGATTAATTTAGAAACACTCAGAAATTCAAAATTACGCCACTGAGAGCTTCTTCTATCTGAGAAGCTTATACATACAGTTGTGTATACTGACAGCATCAGGTAGCTATCCAATCTAATATGTGAATTCACGTATTGAATCACTCATGGCAACCATATATAGTAGCAATGAACTTTTCAACAACCTAGACATATCATTCAAGCTGTCAGATGAGCAATGCTTTCTAATTCTATACATGTTTACTGAGGGAAAGTTCTGATCTATATGCATTGCTTTAAAACACTTTCCTTGCGTAAAGTTAGTTACATTTATGTCACGAATAAAATAAATTTCTGTTTTGTAGAAATCATCGCTGGTAGAATGTTTTTGCCAATTCCAGTTATAGGTACACCAGAGATGTAATTTAACACATACATGAGATGTTAAATGTTTTCTTTTTCAATTTCCTTTATAACAATGATTTCTGAACTATGACTTGCACATTTTAGAGGACCATGAATTAATAGGTACATTTAATAATTAGTTTTGTAAAATGAATTGGGTTTGTAAATATTAATAGTGTTTTTATAGCAGTGGAATTTGATTTGTTCCAAGAAATGACAGTAACACATTACCAGAGGGCATACTTAAAATGCAGCACTATGTTATTGTCCTTTCAAACAAAGTAGATCACTAGGGAGACGAATCTTGGCAAGCAATAATCAACAAGACTTTTATGTAATCCTATCCTATTTCATCCATCTCATTTACAACCTACGCTACTTTCTGATTGGTCAGACAATCAAGACAATGAATTCAAAAGAGCTGCGCATTTCACTTGCTTTACATTACAATCTGTCATAAATCAGGTATCCATCTGCTCTTCAGATAGAAAGACTCACCGGTGTATCTACGTATGTATCTGTTTTGGGTTCGACGTGTATCTCTGCCTCCAGGATCTTCTCCACCGGCATGTCACTATTAGCATTACTTGTGCTTTCTACCTCACCATCACCGCCTGCTTTATCTTTGCGCTGCCGTTCTTCCTGAACAGCTGAGTGGAAAATAACAAGATACAGATTAAGAATGCAACCCTAGTCAGGGAAATGTCAGGGGATTGAACTTAAGTTAAAATGAAGACCTGTCCACCTGTCCCAGACAGGTAGGTTTTATATGGGATAGGCATGCTAATACTTCTGGAAATGACCTGGGAGCTAAAAATTGTTCTCTTGGCATGCCCACAGCAATAAAGTGATTAGGAGAGTTGTGTTAAAATATCTTCAAAATAATATGGATTTGAAGAGTATTAATTAGCTCTCCTGGGTCTTGATCTAGATAATTGTTAGGCGAGAGGAATGATCACTGTCCATAGAAAGTAATTAAGGTCCAGATAGGTATATACAATAATTATCTGTATCTACAGAAAGTTCACAAGTCAGATTAATGAAAATGTTATGTTTTCATGAATTTTTCAAAAAATGTTTGGCACTTATAGCCAGCCACGTTTTTCAAGAATTCACATTATCGTCTATGGGAGATTGATTACCGGTAGTAGTGCGAGACCAATACACTTATCTATGGGAAGTTTAATTAGTAGTGTGAGACCTACACATGCAGAGTTTAGTTCATGTACGTGTATACTGTTTGTTGTTAATGAAAAAGAATAAAAGGAGACAGTCGTCAAGCCATGCATGACCTTCACATTGTCGTCTACAGGAGGAGGTTTAGTGCGAGACCTTCACATTGTCGTCTGCGGGAGGTTTAGTATGTGACCTGTACATTATCGTCTATGGAATTATAGTTAGTAGTGTGAGACCTGTACACTCATCTATGGGAAGTTTAATTATTAGTGCGAGACTTTCACATTGTCGTCTTGGTGATTTTGACGATTGCGCAGATCTACGAGTACAAATTGAGACGTTTCCAAGCTTTAATTAGGCATTTTTTAGGTGATTGGAAGGTATCGAAGGAGTCACCGGCGGTAATTAGTGCTAGTAGCGCCCAGGTCAAACCTTATACTTGTGATTTCCATTAGAAGAGAGTATGGATTGTGGGAAAATCAATGTTTATCAACACAAATATTGCACATGTGTAGCCTGACGACTGCCGCCCTTTAACAAGACATGTACATTGTTGTCTACGAGGAGTTAGTATTGAACCATTGAGCTATATCAAGCGCTTCTGAAATCCTGTTTAAAATAAAGTATTGAACAGAGTCTATACTAGATTTTACCATAAGTCCAATATCTTAATGGAGAGAATCAGTGATGCAAAAATAAAGAGAATAAATGCAAATTGTTTACAAAGTCTTTGTGGTTCCATTCAAGCACCCACTACATGCACATAAATGCAACAGTAAAACACAATTGTACATCCATTAAAGATTAGTGATCATAAACCCATAAAGGATGAACAACGTTAATTTCACTTTTACTCCCCATGCAAGATACAATTCCCCAAATACAGACGTGGATGGTGTTATTTTGGCTCGTCACTGTTTGTCAAAATTACTAATCACTAAGACGTGTTATGTGAAGTACACATTGTCACTGTGATACAAGTGGAGCTACCAAGCTCAGCCTGTACGAATTCAAATTCATGAATTTGTCAAAATTGTGTGTACTCAAGAATATGCAAATACTTTAGAATTTATGAAGTACAATTGATCTTAGTACTGTAGAATACTTTATTTTCGCTTGGAATTTATTTTCGCTATTTTCGCTGAAGGGATGATTCCGTGAAAATAAAATACAGCCAATATACTTTTTTTCCTATATTTCACATTAAACTCATGAAAAATCAGTGAAAATAAATTCAAAGCAAAACGCCCAAAAAGCCTTTTCAGCGAAAATTAATTCCAGCGAAAATAAAGTATTCCACAGTATCTTGAAGCATTAAACCGGGTGCACAAAACATGTCTGTTTGACACTTAAAATTTGTTTAAAAAATGTTGATGCTGTCTCCCAAAACATGTTTAAATGCATATTATCTGGGTATTTTGATCGGTTAAAACTCAGCATTTCACAGAAACTTTAAGACTTG